GTTTACTCTTTAAAGTGTTACGTGACGGTATAGTAAATTCTTTCGTTTGAGGTTCTCAGAGGGGTGACTGTAAAGTTGACAAAATTTTGTGTTTTGGGAGATCTAACGTCTACCTGACTACAAGGGGTCATGATTTCAGAACACAGTTTTTGTTGAGTGCTGTGTTAATAAGAAAACGCCACTTGATTGTACACTGAGCGAGTTGAATCCGTTCTCAAAATTCATAGTCCGCTCCTTACAGCTCCATATTATGACAAGTTACCACCAGATCTTCCTTCTGTTCTCTTCGGATGTTTAGAATAAATATTAATTTACAAAGATAATCAAGCGACCAGAAGTAACAGACCTATTCCGCACACAGATCGTGGGCTCATGGTGCGTTCGCAAGTTTGCAAAGCTGCTGTCTCGCGTTCACCTTCTCGGATTTCTGCGTCTGACCGTTACGCTGCGTTTCATGTGACTTCCCTAGACGCAATACGGCTAGCAAGATAGCTTCGAGGTCGCGCCATGGCCCAAGCGGTTAGTCGCTGTGTTCCCACCGGTGCGGCACGGGTTTCATCCCGGGTCTGGTCAAGTGGGATTTGTGGTGGACAAAGTGGCGCTGGGGCACAGGGATACCTTTATTTTTTACTGAGAATAAGAAATGAAAAATGTAAAGTTCTCTCTGTAACAGGCCGTGGAGGCCCATAGGGTTGTCAGACGTTGAGAGTCCCACAGTATCTAGACAATCGGCTCACAGATGGTGTGAGGTTGTCAGCCTTACGCGCCGGCCGCGCTTTACACTTTAGGAAAATTCCTGGTACTCATTTCTGATAGAGGCTGAGTCGACCCCAGGGCCATAATGCGGCTGGAAAGAATTACATCAAGATACTGAGAGAATTGTTTTAAATACACTATAAGTAAATAAAGAAATGACGAACTCGAAACACAACCCAGAAAACTGTTATTGGAAGTGGCAATTTGAGTTTTAATATTTTTCCCTATTAGATACGGGCACGCTGTAGCGTAGTTGGTTGAAGCATTGTACTACGAGCCGGAGGTCACGGGTTTGATTTCCTATGATGTCACTTGGTTTTTCAATTGACCTAATCCTACCAGCCGCACTATGACCCTGAGGTCGACTCATCCTCTAACAGAAACAAATACCAGGAATATACCTGGGGGCGAAGGGCGGCCGGCGCATAAGCCTGGATACCTCAAACCCATCTCTGAACCGACTGTCAACAAAATGTGGGAACCTCAACGTCTCACAACCCTATGGGCCTCCATGGCCTAATACGGTGATACTTTATTGTATATGTTCTACTAAAATACTTCACTGCTAAAAGTATTTTGCCCAAAGTTTGTGGAAGTTCAACAGATTGTACTGTGGAGATTAGCCATAAAAAATATAACACTAAAGTAAATGGAATTTTTAAAGGAAATATTACCACTCAATAAAACACTGTACAGAAAACACAGGATCCTCATTTCATGCCTCTGGTGACGTGTAAACCATGATTAGTTCGGGAAAATTTCCGATGGGCTTACGGCAGTTGTACATAACGGAGACCCTATAGATGAAATTATAATACTGTTCTGTACCCCAATCCAAAGGAAGCAAAAATTAAAAATAAACAAACCGAGAGAGAAGTAAATATTATTCACAATAATCCCCATTGACGATCTACTACTATATAAACAAATATAGGAATTATTTTTAAGGGGAATTCATCAGCGAAAAAATGCAGCCCCTCTTTTTAGTTGAAGTGGGGTAATGATTCGACCGACAATAACGTTGTGTAAATTATTGTATTTTTTGAGCGGCATAATTATGTTAATAGAAATGAATTTCGATTTTTAGGTATAAACAAACGCATCACATTATTCGTGAATTATTTCATTCTACCACCTTAACAGGACTTCTGAATAACATTAGTGACTGAAAAGTAAATAACACCAAGTTCATTACTGCATTTTGAATGCCTTTGAACCAGGCACAAATCTTGCTCATTAATTGTGTCATTTAGATACTGAAAAAGAAATATTACGCAGTTAAATTCGTTTCAACTGGGCAGTATATTAAATATGACTAAAGTTATTCATTTTGCCCCCTATAAACACTGTTCGTTTTGTCTTAATGCTAAAGGTTAATGAAGCCGGTCACGGTAGCCGAGCGGTCTAAGGCATGCACTGTCTTCGCTCTCTCGGAAGCCGGGATCGTGGGTTCGGATCTGTTTCCTGTGAGGTACGAACTGAATTCTTATATATTATTCTTATACACTTCCGGTCACAGTAGCCGAGCGATCTAAGGCATGCCCTGTCTTCGCTCGCTCGGAAGACGGGATCGTGGGTTCGAATCCAACTCAGGGCATGGAGGTTTGTGTGCGTTTTTCTGTGTTTGTGTACAGGTAGAGGCCTTGCGACGAGCTGATCACCCACCCAAGGAGTCTTACCGTATGTCTAAGGTCTGGTAAAACCGAAGTGAACGGAGAGTTTCATGGACATAGGCCTAGGCTCAAATGAGGGCTGTAGCGCGAATGAAAAAAAAAAGGTTAAGAAATCATGCCTAATATCGGGTGCCTATGTGGCTGTGACTGTTCTTAATTAGTCACTACGCATGATGAGGTATGAGAGTGAAGGTATAAAACCACGTATTCTTAATCTTGACATTAATACGAGCTGAATTGCTAGTGTCATATCCTGGCCGCTTTATCACCCAGGGTAAATACTCAGGAATTCAATGGGTAAAAGTCTGAGTGGGTCACAGGGTCGGTCTGGACGCTTTAGGGAAGAGAACAATGCCTGTCTCCTCCGGGAATCGAACTCCCAATTCCCTGGTCGTCAAACTCGTAATCTTGTAATTATACTAACTCGAATATTCTCGTAATTATTATTTAATTATTAGCATATAACTTTTCTGTCACTCGCAAAATGTGTCAGATCTTCAGTACGGATAGAAACAAACTCCAAAATCACCTAAGTACTTTTCGAAACAAAGAGATATTCGCAACAAAGTTCTTACTATAATTTCCTTGCTGAAAAGTGAAATGCAGACATATCATGAAAGATTTAAAAGAAGAGCGATAAAGGCTGCTCTGTAAGTCGAGACTGCAACGTCATTAACAACTGGACATAACAAGAGTTTGTGACGAAACTTCAAAAATAATCAAAGATAAATAACTCAGAGGACTACAAAATAAAATTTTTAATAATTACCCAACTCAAGTAGATGAGCAAATAACTCTATTCAGAGCTTCCCTTCGTTTCATATCTACTATCTTCTGGGATGGCCGCGCCATAGCTCAAGCGGTTAGTCGCTGGCTTCGCGTCTGCCCGGGTTCGATTCCGGGTCTGGTCAAGTGAGATTTGTGGTTNTGTGACGCCGCGTGTTTTGGTAGGTATGTGCAAATGTGTTGGCGATACCTGCTATATATATCCATGATCAGGGAGAAAGAGTGGTCCTTCAAGGAGGATTCTTCCGAAATTTCGTAACTGTCTAGCAAACAAAGCGGTGTTACACTCCAGAATCCTCATACGAATTTCAAATATCGCAACTGTTTTTTATACGCAAATGTACGTAGTTCCGGTACATTTTTTTTAAAAACGAAAATAAAAAGGAACATCTTACGAAACAAGCCCTAACAAGTCACACGTTTAATATAAGCCTACAGTATTTATTTCTGCCTTTCCCAAACGGACTATGAAGTTATTCTGGACGATCAGAAGGCTTACTTTATCATTAATATGTGCATACATGTCGTCCGTCTCATACATTACAGTAGGAGTAAGCAGTTTTCTAGATAAAAGCGTAAGTGTTAAATGTTTATAATGATCAATAAAACTGTTTAAATTGCTTATTATATTAAAAATATAATGATGTATACAATGTTTGCTCTAATATTCGCTCTTTGCAACAAGAAAATTAAATTAAATTATACCTAAAAATTCAGTTCTTACCTCACAGAAAACACAGTGACCGCGCGGTCTAAGGTATCAAATGTCTTCGCTCGCTCTAACATTTGGATCATGTATTCGAATCCTACTCAAGGCACGAATGTTAGTTTGCGTTTATTCGGTGTTTGTGTTATCCTGTGTAGGAAGCGGCTTTACGATGGTCTGATCCCCCATCCAAGGAGTTCTACCGACTGTCTATAAGATTAATAAACGGAAGTGAGAATTTCCTTTCACGGATGCCCTATGCTCCAAGTGGGAGTAACAAGATTAAAGATAGATAAATATAGACCTTATCACTCCTCGCTCCCACATTCATACAGAAGTCATATATTCAGCCTAACAAATTGTTTGGATTTTAAAGCAGGTGATGTATAGTTACTGTTTCACTTTAAATGTTTAAGACAGGAAATTCTGTCTCTTATTCTCTACGGGATTAATTACGGAAACTAAATAAACTAATTTTGTCTGACGACTGTAGTTTAGAACGTAACAACATTACGCAACTGCTATTCGTGTCGTTAACAAAATCGGTCAGTGTCTTCTGAGACGTGTTAACAAGCAGTTTAATGGAAAGTTCACCACGTGCTTCTAGGATAGAAGAAAACTTCCAAATTTTCGAAATTCAGTTTTTAAAGATAAAGTCGCTATACAAAGCACCGCTTAATGAAGGCGTGTAGGAGCAATGACGTAGGCCTTTACCTCCACGCATCCTTAACCTCAGCACTAGACGGATGTGAGTAATTTGCTTCACGCTCCGGCTGATTTGCGCAGAGAAACGACCCCTTAGCAGGGAGGCACAGTGGGCCCCAGAGCCGTAGTTGAAGTTGTGAAGAAAATAAAAATATCTTCCCCTGCCATAAATCAAACTTCGATTACCCGGTCACTATACCCTTTAAGATACACGTTTATTCATAAATAAACCTTGTTCGTATTACGTAATTTTTAACTTTGATGTAGGATAATAATTAGCGCGATTAATATTAAGGAAATGATTAATAATGCATATAATATTGCAAAAGAGCACCACAAAAGAGTTAGAAAGTAAAATAATTTGGGAAACTTACCGGAAGTGTGTAGAAAGAGCTGTAGAAGGATCCCGAAGAGACTGGTCCCGGTGGTCACCCACATTTTGTCCGCTTGTTGCACGACACTTTAACTCTCTTCAGTTACGAGATATTCAAACACATCGCAATGTTCCATTATTAAGCAGTAAATCACGATCTACACAGTTCTTTCATTTCGGCACGTTTTCCTAATGTAAATCACTTGAATCCATAAAAATAAAATATTTTCCTTATACCTGTCTTCAGCTATGCTACCTGAATAGGGAACAAAATATGTATTTTTCGGTTTTGTTTCTAGGTTTCCGTATGTAAACCGTACACAATAAAACTCCTCATTTATTCATAGCAAGTTTCTAGTACGTTGATATGATTTATCTGTATCGTAGGCTTTACACGTGAGATATTTCCTGTCTGTTCAACCCTTCACCATTGCGTTTTTAACATTTTAGATCCAAATTACTCAAGCAAAAATATTCTTTCTACGGAAATATATTTTCAAAATCCTCCAATTTTCTCTGCATTTACTGTCATTTCCTAATTATTAAAAAACGTTTCAATATGCACACGTACTTATCAGTAAAAGGAAATGGAGAAAATTTCCCTAATAAATATAAAAAAAATATTACAAGGTATTTATATTTCCTTTTATATAAACTTTACCACATTTAGAACTACTTACAGAACCATTTCAGCTGGTCGCTACGAATGTTACTTTTCACGAAGTAGTTTTTCACGGTTCCTTTAGAATTCTTCTTTTGCCCAATTCAACTGATCCCATAGCACTGTGCCCATTGCCTTACTCATTTTTCCTGAAGCTCCTCAACACAACACGTTTCCTCCACCACTGAACATCCCCTCCGACAGAAAGTCGCGTTATAGTCAAGTGTCACGCAAAGTCCCCCCACAGCCGGGCCACCTACACGTGTTTTTGCATTATTTAAACTGGATCTCTACCAAAATTGGTCTTCAGGAGAGCGACGAATATTTGATAGTACTTCCTGTTGCTTGTTTTGCTTCTAAACAATTAATGGTGCATTTCTATTACAAGACTTGGCATGGTACTAACTCTTCACGAAAAGTTCAAGCTCAAATTTTAAATAAAGCTACATAAAGATTTTAATGTTTTCTGAAGGTATTCATATATAATTTTGCAGCTAAAATGTTTACTTATCAGAATCTAAGACATAAATATTTGCAAAATAATATTAACATAAGAACCACTTCTAGCAAAACCTACTATTATACTCACATAGCATTAAATTACACATATATATTTTCCATTTTTCAACGTATTTTCAACGTTAAACTGTTGTTTCTGCGAGTTTTATGTTAATTTCTATAACAACCTAACCTCCACTCGTGTGCTTCACGTGAAACAAGATCACCCACTCTGTTAACGCAATAATGACTGTCGTATTTTACCATTAATTGTTCTCCCATTACATATTACAAGCAAAAAGCACAGAAATCACACACATTTCTCTTTAACGAACCTGATAAAAGAACGTGATCAATCAGAATATAACCTCTTGCCTCTTACCGCCACTTCTGTTGCATCCACGTCACGAGGCGCGAAATGCAGCTACCTGTAATGGTTCCCGATCTCGTCACCAGGTTCGTCTTGTCTCGCGCGCAACGACCTGCCGCGCCGGTAATCCGACAACGTGTGGGACTAGCTGTAAGGTTCAAGCGGTTTAGTATACCAGTGAGATGGGCTCAGTGCGCCGAGTCAACCTGAGGGGAGGGTGGGAAAATAGGGGTGTGTGTGTGTGTGTCTGTTTTTTTTTCTACTCTTATTTTAGGACTCTACTAACCCCGCGTGCGCCAAAGTTAGCATACCATCTCTCTTTCAGCCTGTTTCTCTCTTGTCTGTGGTCGGTTTCGTGGATGTAAGACGGAGAGCGTGACTGGAGAAAATGAGATGGAAAAGACAAATACTAGAGAGGAACAGAAAATGGATAAGGGGTATGTTTTAAGAGCTTGTGGAATGGGCGGATCAATGGCGCCTCCCCTACAGGACAGAGAGTCTGACTGTGAACACAGGTAGAAGTGACGGAGATATTGGAATGAATTAGTTTATTTCAAAATTAAGAAGTTTCTTCAATGAGCTGGATATGAAATTAAAAAAAGGAGAGAGAAAGGTTTTGACTGTAAAATAATATTCCAACGCAGCAAATATTTTTGCGTGTCGTTAATGGTAGAAATGTTCTCTGTTTTCGGTAAGAAGACGATGACGTAACTCAGGTTTTGTTACATACTCTTAAACTTTTGCATTAGGCTCAATAATTATCTTTTTCTTCTGTTTAACAAGATTGCTCAGTAAACGAAGTAACATGACTGCAAGTTTTGGTGTATTTTTTCAGACATTTAATTCAGACAATAAAATAGTAAAATTAAGCATAAATAAGAAAGGAATATATTTCACAAGATAATTGGCCATTTTCATTTCTTCGGCCTCAGTTATCTGCTTCTGAATTTATGGCTGGCCAACGTTCTTACACGGGTTGGAAAATGCGTTTCTTGAATTGAAAGTATAAAGTAAACGTATCCTTGTGGAGACCCATAGGTTTGAGAGATATTGAGGTTCCCACATTTTCTAGACAATCGGTTCAAAGATGGCGGTGAGGTTGTCAGCCTTACGCGCCGGCCGCCCTTTACCCCAAGAATATTCCTGGTACTTATTTCTGTTAGAGACTGAGTCGACCCCCAGGACCATACTGCGGCTGGATGGATTAGGTCAATTGAAAAAATCCAATGACCTCATCAGGACTTGAAACCGCTACCTTCCGGCTTGTAGCATAGTGCCTCAACCAACTACGCTACCATGTGACCCCTTGAATTGCAAGTGATGTTGGATTTGAGATCCTCATCAGGAAATTATTTTTACACGTTACCTGCTTTGCTCTATAGAGACGGGCTATGGGCTGGTTGGCCGGGGTTCCATTCCCGGCGGGAACACGAGATATTTTTCTACTCCACAACGTGCAGATCGGTCCTGGGGCCCATCTGACCTCCTATGCAATGTGTACTGGGAGTAAAGCGACATGGACCTCAAGCTGACCACTCACCTCCACCTAACAGAGTAGCGAACAGAATAATACATGAACGGTGTTGAAAATAAGAAACAGCCGTTGCAGCACATGTGAACACAGAGCAGGTATCCCTGTGATTTAAAACTTTAAATTTTGAATTTTAAATTTTAAATTAGAATTCTAAAATCAAATTGACGAGCATATGTTGGCGAGATTTTAAACAAAACTGACAGGCTGGTGTTTTAGATTTTAGATTGTGTGCAGTGGGACAGCTAAGTAGTGAAAAATACACCTGATGATGGCCGGTTGCGGCCGAAACATGTAGTGTAGAGGAAGAAAAGACAAAGAACTACAACCAAATAAATTGTTACAGTCACAACGGCATTTGTATTATTACATATAGAAATCCATGACTCGATTAAAACTCGAACCCAAAATCCGATTATTTCAGCCCGCGAAAAACATTTCGTGACTTAGAACGCGCGGCCAACCTTGTCGTCTCTACCCTTATTCAGTTAATTTTATTTGGCTAATTAGTTGGATAGCTGCTTGACTGCTAAAGAATTTCCTCGCTACGGAGAATCAAATCTTGCGATGGCTCCACTAATTTCTCTCACGCCTTTAAAGTTTCTTTTTTGATTGTGATCTTACGACGCCCCGCGTGAGATACTAAGATGAGTCTGCATAAATCTTGGGATCCTAATTACATTATTCTCCCTTCAGCTTACTGTTGTCTGCTGGAAAACCACTAACGTGATTAAAGAACAATTAGGAAATATGAAACCTCGTAATTAGTATCAATTACTTCCGTTTTATCTACTAAAAAGACTTCTTTAGTTAGAAAGATAACTTCTTAATTTACATTGGATTTGAGGTCCTTAGAGCGGTGACTATGAACAGTACTATCTTTTAGAATGTAACAGTGTGTACTTCGGCAGGCGTTCACCGACGTTTCGGAGTAAAGTACTGCCTCCATTTTCATGCTCAAAAATAAGCTAAGCACTCAACCTGGACCAAAGAGAGATGAAATCACAGTAGGTTGGAGAAACTGCATAATGAGGAGCTTCATAACTTGTACTCTTCTCCAAGTATAATTAGAGTGATCAAGTCGAAGACGATGCGGTGGGCAGGTCATGTAGCATGAATGGGGTAGACGAGGAATGCGTATAGGATATTGTGGGAAAGCTAGAAGGAAGAAGACCACAGGGGAGACCAAGGCGTAGGCGGGTGGACAATATTAGAATTGATCTTAGAGAGATAGGATGGGATGGTATGGATTGGATAGATCTGGCTCAGGATAGGGACCAGTGGAGGGCTCTTGTGAACACGGTGATGAACCTTCGGGTTCCATAAAATGCTGGGAAATTCTAGAGTAGCTGCAGAATTGGCGGCTCCTCAAGAAGGGCTCAGCTCCATGAGTAAGTAAGTACGTAAGTAAGCACTCAACCAACAAGACGTGTGCAGCAAGAAAAGCATACCTGTCTCTCTTTCGTTGATACCGTGACATGACACCCGAAAGCAGAAATAATGAAATCAGAGAAGACGTCCATTGCTAGGCAAGTGCTCGGTAAACATACTCCCGCGGCAAGAAATACGCATGCAACAATCGAATGGCTTCCATTGTTGTGCAAAGGCGTTGTATAGACGCCTACCCAACAACAGATAAGTTATGTATTCTGCTTGGTCCGTGCAAAGTGGTTATACAGAGAAGTTCAGCTGAGAAAAATTAGTAGAGTCTCGAGACACCAGCATGCAGGATATGAGCTTGGGAACAGAGGAATTTAACTGAGTCCGGGTCTTCGAAATTAGCAGTTGCAGAATAATGGCAAGAAGGGAATTATGCTGTGACAAGAAGACTCCATGTGTGACTTTAAGTGACAGTGAGACTTATAAATACGTTGCCAGGATACGACTAGTGAAGACTGGAAACCTTAGTGCATGTGTAACGGTGAATTATAAAGTGTGTAACTCAGCGATAGCGCTGTATTGTCCGTAGTTCCGAGTGGAGTGTATCAGATGTCAATAAATCCAATCATCCAATCCACAGCCCGTTGTATAAGCACTCACCTATATTTATAGACCTAATCAGGCCTCAAAGAGTCTTGCAATTTTAGACCTTAAGTACAAAACCTAAGAATCCAGGAGCAATGATTTAAATCGTAAATGATTCAATTGGGTTTATCTCAAGCCAGCTGAATCCAGTCCACAACATATTTACCTGAATCAGTTTTTAACACCATGTACGCTTCTATAAATGATCTCTTTACTTCAGGTTTTCTAAAGCCGTTTTTGCATTTCTCACCTCCTCTATGCGTGCTAAATGTCTCACCCGGTTCATCTTTCATATTTTACCGCCATTGTAATAACAGAGCAAGGAGTATGAGTTCTTAAGCTCTTGTTTTTATAATATTATTCCTTTTCCTGTTGCTCCCAGACAGAGCAAAATGAAACTTCTCATGAACAATAACAAAACGCGTATAATTGCAGGTGATTCCCCGCCTAGCAACTTGTTGTTGAAAAGCTACGTGACACTGATGGCTGCGTGAACAATTGCGCATGACTGATTGTTTTTATTGACTCTAAGAGGCATCCAATTAAGGCTGCTTAGAACCGGTGACGGAGATTAATTACGCCTCCGCGTGATTATTAGAAAACACTCCTCGACAAAGATTAGAGAAGACCAGTACAGTGCTGCCGACTGGTGGGGATAATCAGCGTTCATGAAAATTGAAGTACTGACTCAAAGAACATAAATCTTTGATTGTAATTTATGTGACACAACTCACGAATATTAAAGCAAATAATTTTAGTTATGTTATCTTACATTCTGCTTCTGAGATAAAAATTACTGTACATTAGAGGTAACTTTGGGGCACGCGGTAGCGTAGTTGGTTGAGGCACTATGCTAAAAGCCTGAAGGTCTCGGGATTGAATCCCAATGAGGTGGATTTTTTCAATTTACCTAATACTTCCAACAGCACTATAATCAGGGGATCGACTCAACCTCTAACAGAAATGAGTACCAGGAATATTCTTGGGGGTAAAGGGCGGCTGGCGCTAAGACTGACAACCTTACCGCCATCTATGAGCCGATTGTCTAGAAAATGTGGGAGCCTCGACGTCTCACACACCTATGGGCCTCCAAGTCCTGTCACAGGGACAACTTTACTTTTCTTTTTTATTTAACTACTATTAGGGCCGCGCCATAGCTCAAGCGGTTAGTGGCTGGCGTCCCACCGCCGCGGCCGGGTTCGATCCCGGGTCTGGTCAAGTGGGATTTGTGGTGAACAAAGTGGCGCTTGGGCAGGTTTTCTCCGAGTACTTCGGTTTCCTCTGCCAATCTTCATTCCACTAATTGCTCCACAATCACCCTCACCTATCATCTGGGGCTGGTACAATAGGCCAGAAGTGGTCGCAGTACAAGGGACTTAGTCCCACCCCACTAGCAATAAAAAAAGGGAAGACATTTCATGCCTTAAAGCGCGCAGCCACTGTGATCGTCTTGGTGTTCATATGCCTATAGGAAATTTAAATATATTTTAGTTGCTTATTTCCAGAAGGAAAGAGGCCACTGGGATGAGCAAGAAGAAGGTGGGTGGACAATATTAAAATGG